CACAAAATCTGTTGGATATATGCCACCATCTGCATTGGATCCCAAGGTGTTTGAGAGCTTTGACAGTATTTGGCTTCTAATCCCACTGCCATGTATGCATCTATGTCTCACTCTGGTCCTTGTTCATCTGACACTTCAGGTATTCCCTCATCTTTGTGGATTTTAGATTTTGGTGCAACCCATCATATGACTCCTTATTTGTCATCATTTACTTCTTTATCGTAAGTGTCATCCATTTTTGTTAAGTTTGCTAGTGATACATCTATGCTAGTTGAGGGTGTTGGGTCTGTCTCCGTTTCTCATATAACTCTTCATGATGTTTATTACATTCCCAAACTTACTTTGAACCTTGCCTCAGTCAGTCAGTTATGCAAGTCTGGTAACTGGGTGTTCTTTTCTGATTATGTCTATGTTATACAGGATCAACACATCCAGAAGGTGATTGGGATCGGCCGTAGGGTGGGGGAACTATATGTCTTGGAGGTCCTCAAAGTATCTACTGTTGCTGCTTCTAGCATTGATTTATCTTTTTTTCGTTTGAGTCCTTTGCCGTCTGAGTTTTATCTTTGGCATTCTCGTTTGGGACATGTGTCTGTATCACGGTTGAATTTCTTAGCATCTAGTGGTGTTTTGGTTCATTTAAACTCTTGTGATATTTCTGATTGTAGTGGTTGCAAACTAGAAAAATTTTCTGCTTTACCCTTCAATAAAAGTATGTCTTGTTCTACTGATCCTTTTGATATTATTCATTCTAATGTGTGGGGTCCTGCACCAGTATCCACAAAGGGTGGGTCAACCTATTATGTATCTTTTATAGATGATTTTACTCGATATACATGGGTTTATCTTATGAAGCGCAAATCTGATTTCTTTGGTATTTACAGCAATTTTAGAACTCTTGTTAAAACTCAACATTCAGCTGTGATTAAGTGCTTCAGGTGTGACTTAGGGGGAGAATATACCTCTAATGATTTCACTCAGTTACTTGCTTCTGATGGTACCATACACTAGTCTTCGTGTACTGACACACCTCAGCAAAATGGTGTGGCAGAACGAAAACGTTGTCATATTATTGAGACTGCCCGCTCTTTGCTCCTGTCTGCGCAGGTCCCTAGTGCCTTTTGGGGAGAAGCAGTCCTAACTGTTGTGTATATGATTAATCGTATCCCTACTTCATTGAATTCAAGAATATCTCCTTTTGAGAAGCTATATGGTCATCCACCAGACTACTCTTCCTTACGAGTTTTTGGATGTACTTGTTTTGTTCTTCGTCCTCATGTTGAAAGGAACAAGTTGGGGTCGAAATCTGCTATTTGTGTATTTTTGGGGTATGGGATTGGTCAGAAAGGATATCGTTGCTATGATCCTGTGAGTCAAAATTTATATGTTTCTCGGCACGTTACTTTTTTGGAACATATTCCTTTCTACTCGATTCCTGCTACAGCCCACAATGTAACAAAGTGTGATCTTCTGCGTATTGATCCTTTTAATGAAGATATAGAGGCTCAAGACTCATCTATGCCACATGATCCCTTGGCACATGACACACCCACTTCTTCAGAGGGTGCCTCGACTCCACCTGTTCCTGAGCCTGATCCTCCGATTATTGAAGTTGAGGATCCTCCTCCACCACCACCCCTCAGGAGATCTTCTCGTCATGTCAAGTCCACCAAGCTACCAGATTTTTCTTACTCTACATATTCATGACCGTTTGCTTCATTTATAGCAAGCATCCATCATCTGTCTAAACCAGAGAAGTTGTTTTAGATCCTCTTTGGCAGAATGCTATAGCTGAAGAATTCACTGCTCTTCATCAGACTCATACATGGAATTTGGTTTCTCTTCCTCCTGGGAAACATACGATAGGTTGTCGTTAGGTGTACAAGATAAAAACAAGTTGATGGCTCTGTTGAACGATATAAGGCTAGACTTGTAGCAAAACGGTATTCCCAACAATATGGTTTTGACTACGAGGAGACATTTACCCCAGTTGCAAAGATGACGACAGTTCGTACTATGATTGTAGTTGCATCCGTTTGACAGTGGAAGATCTTTCAAATGGATGTTAAGAATGACTTTTTGAATGGTGACCTTCATGAAGAGGTTTATATGACCCCTCCTCCAGGAATTCAACATCGACCAGGCGAGGTTTGTCGGCTTTGCAAAGCTTTGTATGGGCTCAAGCAACCCCTCGTGCTTGGTTTGAGAAATTCTCCACAGTGATTACCTCTCTTGGATTTGTCCAGAGTAATCACGATTTTGCTCTGTTTGTTAGATGCTCGAGTGCAGGACGGATTCTTCTGTCTTTATATGTGGATGACATGATTATTACAGGTGATGATCATGGTGGTATTGAGTCTTTGAAGCATGATCTAGCTCGTCGATTTGCTATGAAGGATTTGGGCTTTCTGCGTTATTTCTTGGGTATTGAGGTCACTCAGTCTAAGAAAGGGTACCTTCTTTCCCAGACTAAATATATATATCTGACTTGTTTACACGGGCGGGACTTTCTGACAATCAGATTGTTGATACCCCTCTTGAAACCAATGCTCGATACTCTCCTACAGATGGTGTCCCTTTGTCTGATCCGAATCTTTGTCGTACTGTGGTGGGAAGTTTGGTTTATCTCACAGTCACTCGTCCAGATATTGCTCATGCTGTTCATATTGCCAGTCAGTTTGTTACTGCACCTACTTCTGCTCATTGGGGAGCTGTTCTTCGTATTCTGAGATATCTTTGTGGCACTCAGTTTCAGACTCTCTTGTTTTCCTCGACATCTTCTCTTGAGTTACGTGCCTATAGTGATGCTGATTGGGATGGTGATCGTCATAATCGTAAGTTTACCATTGGATTTTGTTTATTTCTTGGAGAGTATCTTATTTCATGGAAGAGCAAGAAACAGGATGTTGTCTCTAGATCTTCCACGGAGGCTGAATATCGTGCTATGGCTGTAACTACATGCGAGATTATCTGGTTACGATGGCTGCTTGCGGATATGGTAGTTTACATTTCTTCATCTACTCCCTTGAATTGTGATAATAAAAGTGCGATACAAATTGCGAAGAATTCTGTTTTTCATGAGCAGACGAAGCACATTGAGATTGATTGTCATTTTACTCGTCATCATCTGCAGCTTGGGACCATTTCGCTTCCCTTTGTTTTATCAACTTTGCAGCTTGCAAATATTTTGACGAAGGCTTTATCGACTTCTCGGTTTCGGTTCTTATGTGACAAACTCTCAATGCTTATTGCTGCGACATTGTGAGTTTGAGGGGATGTTAGTCTATATTATTAGCCCACTTGTTTATGGGCCTTTTTTGTCTTTAGTCCATTAGGGTTTCTGTCTAACTAATGTTTATATCTGCTTTATTCCTTGTAGTCTTTATGCTTTTCTCTGAGAACCCTTGTAATTTCTCTTTGATATAATCATATAACAATGTTATCAGATACCACTCATCGTTAATTCCTAACCATGGAATCACCTCAAGGTGGTTTTGTCAATTTGCTTCAAACGGTTCCCCACTCCAACAAACATCACTTTTCCAATAACAACACCAACATTTCGCGCCCTTTCAATATCAATTCCACTAATTTCAACAAACACCACTTTTTAGGTTTTTTATTTTTAATATTATTATTTTTTAATTAATATATATTTTTTATTTTTAATGTTGTTTTTGTTATTATTATTATTATTATTATTATTATTATTATTATTATTATTATTATTATTATTAATGTAATTTGGTATTTAAATTTAATGAAAAACTAATATTTTTTTTAAAAAATTATATGATTTGTATGCATTTTTTTATTCAGATTTAATCAAAAAAATGAGATGGAGTAGTTTGTTTAGTGGTAGGTATCTTATATGTTTATTAACGGTTAGTAATGATGATGTAACATCCATCACTATAATGGTTAATAGTAATTATAACCGATAACGGATTATTTTAATGCTCTAACTCCTGTCAAAATAATTAGTTTCACCAATCACCATTAGTCAAATACCTAATAGACCTCTTAACGTAACACAAATAAAGAAAAATAAAGAATACTTTCCGCTAGGGTTATTTTCTTTTTTAATGGCTATTCCTTTCTTAATTGACCATGTAAATAAGCCTTTGGTTTTTCCATTTAAGTTGCTTATGTCGTACACATACTTCAAAATCACACTCGGCCCTAACATTTTGGAAGATCTTATACAAAAACTAAAGTGAGGCTCCATAAAAAAAATTATTGTAAATATTATTAACTATATTTGTAACCACTAACTCAAAACATAAAATTACTAAAAAACATCTCATAAATTCACTACCATAAAATGATATCTTCACTCATTGAGTCATTGATAATCAAATAAAACTGTAAAACTGTTATAAACAACTTTTCAAAAAAAAAAAAAAAAAAAAAAAAGAACAACACATTACTATTTTCTAAACGTCGAACTTCTAGCATTTTTAAAGGAAAATTCATCTATGAGATTTTTTTTTACTTTGTGGTGAATTTATAAAATATAAAAACGTTGTCTAAAATTTATAAAGAAAACAAATTTGAATTTTTTTTGGATATAGATATTTTCATTAAATTATTGATAAATTTTAAATTTATGATTAGATTTTGATTTTTGTTGATTTTTTTTTTCAGAAGTAAAATGTATCTAAAATTGAAACCAAATGTTACTAGACTAATTTTATTTATTGATAAAACAGATTTTACAAAAATACCAATACTATAACTCTAAATTATCTCAAAAATTGGAGGTCCTATAAAATCGAAGGCCCGGTGCGGCCTCACCGCCGGCACCACTCTAGGACCGCCACTGTTCAAAATGAAAATATTTTTGTTTTGGATCAACAATTTAACACACGCCACTGTTCAAAATGAAAATATTTTTGTTTTGGATCAACAATTTAACACACGCACCACAATCCGTTTGTTATAATTCAAAATTTCACATGCATTTTTAAGTTGAAAGTCATCCTATATTCCTATCTGACCACAAAAGTCACATGTACCCAGTTGCTGCTATCCCTTTCACAACAATTTTTTATGAGTGGACAATTATATTATACCCTTTCTTTTATTTACACTTTACCCCCTCTATACTAAAACCCTTGCAGGCGTATCAGACTATCAGCCGTTCCCAATTTCCTACGTTCATATTACGACCTCCTGTTCCGGCATCCCCATCGCATCTCCGGCTTGCTATACCCCGTCGCCGCCTCCGACTTGCTCGGCCACCGTCGCGGCCTGTGGCTTGCTCCACCGCCTTCATCCACCATCTGCCTCCGGTTTGCTTCACAGGTATCGCTAATTTCTATACAATAGCAATTTTGTTTCTAATTTGATTATGTTCAATGTGTCTATTATCCGGTTTTCAGAAGCAGTAATTTGAAATCAACTGATTTAGATCCGTTTCCTGTATAATACTAAACTGATTTGGAATTTGTTAATTATGATTTCAGTTTGTTCATCCTGAACTGAACAATAATGTATCAATGTTTCTCATATTTGATCGATTCCTTACAATATCAGTTTTCCTATAATCAGTTATCTATCATCCAGTCTTCAAATCCAAATATCGATTCCATCTATAACTTTTTGCTTCCATTTGAGTTCCATTTAAATGGATTTGTAATTGAGTTCTAGTTTGGATTTCTATTTAGACCTTTGATCATATGTAAAAAAAATCTTATCTTTTAAAATGTAACTAAACAGCCCCTGAGTATAAAAAAAAAGTTCCAAACAGCCCCCGAAAACATTTTTTTAACAAAAAAAAAACCCGATTTCTCTGATCCTTTTCACTTCCGAAGCAAGTTGCCTATGTTTTTATTCCTTACATTGCAACGCGCGTTTTTTTTTTTTTAATAGAATTTTGAATTTTGATACCTTTTCAATTTTATTAAAAAATAAAAATTATATATTTTTTCAATTTCATCATCAAGGGACTATAAATAGCCCCAACCCCCGACTCTCTTTCTCTCGTGAGCTCTATTGGATCTCTTCGAATTCGTCAGGTATGTATCTCCGTATTTGAGATAGCTTAATCGATTATATCTTTTCTGGTTTGTAACTTATCTTCGTTTAGATCCGATTTTGTTTTCAAATCAAATCGGTGTCGTGTTTCATCGTTCTGTGAAGTTACCTAGATTGTTCCCCACAATTTCGATTCCTTTTTGTTAAAAATTGGAGGAATTAGGGTTTTTGACAACTTTGTATGAATACTCGTGGTGATGAGAAAGTGAGTCGGAATCATCCGATGTTATATGAAGTTTACGAATTGACATCGTGTTGTGTGATAGAGAAATGGATAGCAAGGAGCAAAGTGAGAAATTGAAGAACTACGAAGCTCAATACGCCAATTACTTGAAAGCAAAGTACTTCTCCGATAAAGACATCTATGGAGGTAAAATTTAGAACTTCTGATTTCATTGCAATCTAATCGGTGGATTTCTGTTAACAAATTGAGAGATTTGTTGTTTATTGTAATCTGATTATGTCGTGATTCTGAAATCTGCAACATTTGTGTAAGCCTATGAAGTTATTTGCTTTCCTTTTGAGCAAGATGGAGTTATCTAAGCAACCCCTCTTTAACGCAGGTAATATTTTTGAAGAGAAGACAACGATAGGTGGAATGACAATTAGGGCAAGCAGGTAATTTTTTTTATTAAATCCACAAGTAGCAAGTTTTATATTTCCCAAGTGTATATGTCATTTTCTCACCCTTTTTTTTTTTTTTTTAGTGAGGCTGGGACTAGATCTTATGAGGATCCTGTTGGGTATTGGAACGAGAAGTATGCGCCACGTATAGAGCCTTCAACAGAAACAACAACAGCAACCAATCTTTCAAATGGAAATCACTCCTCTAAAAAGAGTGCTTAATCTCAATCTGTTTGTAAATCATATATGCATATTTAGGCAGTTTTTAATGATGGACAATGGATTTGTCAGATAAAAGTAAAAGTTGTTAATTGGTGGTATTTAAACAGGTTGTAACTCACCAAAGTTTTTTTAGGCTCACTTTTCTTGCTTAATAGCTACCATTACTTTTCTTGTTAACCAAGATTCATAGATTGAAAACAAAGAACGTTAGTTTTTGAAATGAGTATTCCTGTTTAGAATTGGTTTTGTGGATGATTGTCAATGTGGTAAAGAGAACGTTAAATATCATATTCTTACGAATGAGTATTGTTACTTGAAATCATTTAAAGGGAAAAACGTACAAGTGAGAAGAACCAAACTCTTTTATTATGTGATGATCATGTGATATGATGAGGGATCATAATCAATGCTTAACTAGCCATGGAAATATGGAATCCGATTCAATTCAGGTACGATCAAAGTAACATTTCAAGAGCTCGGTCCAAATAACCCCAAGGCAGGCAGATCTAATGAAGACTTTTACTATGATGTTGTATAAGAATATGTATAGTTTCTAATTCAATGGAATCATCAACCTTGCTAGAGTCATCGATACACAAAAAAGTATAGTTCTTATACTTGGTGTATAAACTATTGAGATTGGGTTTCCTATTGCATAAGCTACGGTTGAGATATGTGTTTGGTCAATGTGTGAAATCAGTTCGATAATGATTTTTTGAATATATATATTTTTAAAATTTTCATCATTGAAATAGAAAAACTATAAAAGGTTATAAGTGAAGTCGTATTTGATTGCTTACACAGATGAAAACTCTTAGAGGACAATTAATAGTATGTCATTGAAGATTTTTCTTGTAATTTATTACCTTTTTTGTTACTGATATTTAAATTTTAAGTCGATTTGAAAAATGATGTAATAGATTATAAATTTTGTACCTCAATCTGTTTAGACCATGGATGCAATGCTAACCTAAGATATAGACTGTTGGAAAAAATATCTAATGTCATTAACTATTGATAACAGAGTTTTTTTGGGTTGCCCTCGAGAACCAAATTGAGTAGAATAAATAAAGAAGAAATTAGTTTATTAATTATGATCATCACATTATTATGTGATGATCATGTGATATGATGAGGGATCATAATCAATGCTTAACTAGCCATGGAAATATGGAATCCGATTCAATTCAGGTACGATCAAAGTAACATTTCAAGAGCTCGGTCCAAATAACCCCAAGGCAGGCAGATCTAATGAAGACTTTTACTATGATGTTGTATAAGAATATGTATAGTTTCTAATTCAATGGAATCATCAACCTTGCTAGAGTCATCGATACACAAAAAAGTATAGTTCTTATACTTGGTGTATAAACTATTGAGATTGGGTTTCCTATTGCATAAGCTACGGTTGAGATATGTGTTTGGTCAATGTGTGAAATCAGTTCGATAATGATTTTTTGAATATATATATTTTTAAAATTTTCATCATTGAAATAGAAAAACTATAAAAGGTTATAAGTGAAGTCGTATTTGATTGCTTACACAGATGAAAACTCTTAGAGGACAATTAATAGTATGTCATTGAAGATTTTTCTTGTAATTTATTACCTTTTTTGTTACTGATATTTAAATTTTAAGTCGATTTGAAAAATGATGTAATAGATTATAAATTTTGTACCTCAATCTGTTTAGACCATGGATGCAATGCTAACCTAAGATATAGACTGTTGGAAAAAATATCTAATGTCATTAACTATTGATAACAGAGTTTTTTTGGGTTGCCCTCGAGAACCAAATTGAGTAGAATAAATAAAGAAGAAATTAGTTTATTAATTATTATGGCTTAATAATTAAGTAGAAACTAATTGGAAAATATTTTGGGAATTAATTAATAGTTTAATTAATTAATTGACCGAATATTCATTAATCAATACCTGGTTAATCAAGAATGTTCCAGAATCCTTATCAGATAAGGGTTTGGACGAAATCTCCTTAGTAATAAGGAGAATTTCATTATTGCGCTCCCATCCCACATAAGATTGAGTACAAAACCTAGGACGGGAAACAATGTTATAAATAAGGTCTTAAGGATCACATCATTCCTTACATATTTGTTTGAAGTTTCGCCAACCCCTCCCCCCCCCCCCACCATAGGGATGATTTCTAATCTTATTAGGGTTTGTGAAATTGATTTTTCTTCTAGCTATTTTATTCCATTCTTTGGTGTCATTGGGTGTGATACCATTAGATGGATTCTAGTTTGGGTCCTCTCATCCAAGCAACTTTGAGGAGGACAAGATATCAAGGGCTACATAAGATATATATGTTATTCTTCCTTATCGTTTATGTTTCCAAAAGGTAACAGTAATTAGTATGAAACTTAGATCCTAGGGTGTATGTACACTTAGGTATATCATGGTTTATCCACAACCTAGTTTAAGTGTATTTGATGCATAGAAAACCCAACATAGACATACATAACAAGAACTCAAGAATTGAGACTAATGGAAACTTCATACCTATCTTTAAATGGTGAATTATGAAACATTTTTCCTTAAGCAAAGCACTTGCTTAACCATACAATGGTTGAAGTGCTAAAAGGAAAGGTTTTAAATTTCACCAATAGAGAAATGGTAGGTAGTTAAAAAATATATATGCCAAAAGTATAGGAAACAAAATTCTTGATAAATTATGTGACAATCTAACTCTAAAGTTGAAATAATCAGTTTCAAACATCACGTCCTAACGTATAAATTTCGATCAAAACCAACAATTTGAAGAAAATAATATACAAACTAGCTGCTGCTAAAATATATGTGATCAATTCAGGAAATTTCTACATAAAAATAGCACTAGAGGAAGTGAGAGATTAGACTTACTATACACAAAAAAATAGTTCTTTATCTTTCTTCCATATATGGTTAACAATTACGTAATCTGAAAAAAAAAATCATGACATCTGAACCTAAGAAACCATTCTAAATTTACCAACAAGTTAATATATAACAAGCAATTAAATGAAGAAATTTCGAGGAAAATAGTTGTTAGATTTAACTTACAGGAATGCATGAGAAAAATACATGAATAGACGATGGATGGTATTTAAGGAAAGAAGAAACATCTTTTTTACCTTTTGAAGCAAGAACAAGAAGGAGATGAGTGGAGTACTCGTTGAACAAAGAAAATTTGCTTTATGTAATGTAATTGTTGGATTTTATTCAAAGTTTCAGTTTCTAAAGCAACAAAATTGACAAAGGAAACATTATAATGTTTGAATAACATAAAGCTATTTTATTCCCACCAATGATCTTTTTACATGAACATGAATGATTAAATACAACCATAGAAGAATTAAGAAGTAACAACATTTGAAGATTTTGAAGCTTCTTGGGAGGTTGGAAGTTAATAGAGATAGAAAGAGCACAAACTAGGATTCTTATAGAGAAATCCATCAATAAGATAAAACACTTAGATACTAGTCCTTCTTACAATATTAAGCTCTTTAGCTGTTAAGAACAAAAGTCAATATTTTGTCTTAAAGGAGAGAAACAGCTTCTAACTCTTACTTATGAATATTAACTAATTAAGAGAGAGAAAGAGAGAGAGAGAGAGAGAGAGAGAGAGAGAGAGAGAGTGAGAGAGAGTGAGTGAGTGAGTGAGTGAGAGTGAGTGAGTGAGAGAGATAGAGAGATGATAAGTATGGATAATTTTTGCATTGCAAAATGAGTGAAGATAACCTTTGAAAAGTTCATCCATCAATACATTTTCACACAACTTGTCATGCCAAATCGTTATATATGACATCTCTTAATGCATAGGTAGCTAAGATCATGAATTCAGCTGCATCATCTCTTTTGTTAACTATAACTTTAGGTTTTGCGATTACATATGGTTTTAGTTGTCAATCACTTACTGATTTTGAAGTCGCAATAACTCCAACAACATGTAGCCCATTCTAACTGATCACTCTTCCTCCTAAAATTTTGATTCTTTCTAATGCGTTCTATTTGGATGCATCCATGTCTATGATTTTCATTGATATTTCAAGGTTAAATTTAAAAAGATTCTTTAACGTACAAAGATATAAGATTGTGTTAATTAATAATTACTTTATGGTCAACGGATAACTGTATAGTAGGACCACCTCTTAAAAGAACAACCATTGAATCACCGTAATTGGCAACCACTATTACTTTATCACCAACAACGGTGAAACCCATGGAATCAACAAGGTCGTTTTCATTCTCTTTCCTTATTCATCTTAGAGACTATCCAACGTCATGTTTTCCGAGTACATCTTCGTCATGTTTCTATCTTTTATATCCATCTTGGCTGCCAACGGCTTGTATAACCCTCACAAGTATAAGCAACACAAGAACCAGCATGACTGTGACAACCGTCATATTCGGGTCAATTTGTGACAATCGTCAATCTTGAGTCAAGTCAAGTCATCAAGTCAAGCCGGTCAACTCTATTAAACCTTGTGTATTAGGTCGATGAATCGATAAAGCAAGAACATATGAGTTTTTGATTCGCAATTGGATTGATGATTGAGGGATGATTCATGAAGAAAAACGCGAAGTCAAGGACTATGAAATTGTTGGTTGCAAGAATTTAAAAACTCGATTGTGGAGTTGTTGATGCTCATTTTGCGAAAGTAAAACAATCGAGTGTTCGCATCTATGAATCAATTTGAAGTCAATTGGGTTAATATTCGCATATGGGTTCAACATATGAAAATTTTGATTTCGCAAGTTTAGAGTTCAAGAACTAAACTGTGTTCGCATCTGGAATGAAAAATTTTGTGAATCGCATTTGATTAATTAGGTTAAATGCGAAGGGATGCGAAGTGTAAGAATGAAATGCGAAGGTGATTAATGCGAAGGGATGCGAAGGTGTAAGAATGAAAATGCGAAGGTGATTAATGCGAAGGGATGCGAAGGGTGTAAGAATGAAAATGCGAAGGTGATTAATGCGAAGGGATGCGAAGGGTGTAAGAATGAAAATGCGAAGGTGATTAATGCGAAGGGATGCGAAGGGTGTAAGAATGAAAATGCGAAGGTGATTAATGCGAAGGGTGTAAGAATGAAAATGCGAAGGTGATTAATGCGAAGGGATGCGAAGGGTGTAAGAATGAAAATGCGAAGGTGATTAATGCGAAGGGATGCGAAGGGTGTAAGAATGAAGATGCGAAGTATTTCACAGTAGAATGCGAATTGGGGAAGAAAACAGAAGATTTCAAATATTGTCCCTGGAGTTTCGCATTTTTGGAAATAAATACTCAACTTCGCAAATGGGGGTCATAAAATGATGAAATTGCAGAATTTTTAAAGAGATACACACACATAGACAACCACACATATATTTAGAAAATTAAACTAAAAATGGATATAGACTATTATAAGACATTGTTCTTGACTTTTGAGTCCAAAGACGTATGATCCGAACTTTAATTGTGAAATCGTCCTTGATTGAGTCAATTTCCTTTATAGGAGTAATATATTCCATTGT